AAAAAAAAAAAACAATTCAATCATGGATTACAAAAAAATCGATCAAGTATTACAAAAAAATCTATCATGGATTACAAAAAAAAAAAAATAAAAAAATAAAATAAAAAAAAAACCGTACGGGACTCGTCGATTCCGTACAGTGAATCGGCGAGTCACTGTGCAAAACCGTCCGTTTCTAGAGAGAACCGGACGATTCTCGTTTTTTTCGCCGATTCGATCCGTCCATGGCGATTCCCGAGTCGAACCGGGCGAGTCCGGTTCGACTCGGCGTTTTTTTAAACATTGATTTGGCCCATATACAAAATGGCAAACAGTGCATTTAACATGTCAACTGTGTGAATCTTTGTGGCCGGAAAGCCCCAAGTATTTGGTTCCTGATGAAGCGTAAATATGCAGAAAAATCCACTTCTTCCTGACAGTTTGGGATGACATTGGAAATGATCAAACGTGTTTTCAAAGCCTCGATAACATTAGATAAAATGGCAAAAGTTCTTTGCTGACAAAAAGTACTCTTCTTTCATGCCCAAAGAAATACCTTGCCTAGGGTTCATAATAGTTCATGTTAGCAGAACTGTAAGCATGCAGATGTAAGGATTTTTCTAATCACCATCCACTTCTTTGCTTTTTTTTTTTCTCCTGTTTTCTCTTGTATGCGTTATCTCTTTGTGATATGTTATAAGATTAGTTATTTGGAGGAAGATTTGAAAAGACAAATTTTGATTGGGACACACCATATTCCCTATGCTAATGGGCTCAGTAAGCCTCAGCAGGTTTTGAATAAGATGACCAGTCTTAACAGTTGATGTAAACTTGTCTTGACTCAACGGCAAGTCCCAAGTTGACTCGCCCATGCGTAGGAGTAGATTAACTCCAACACCATATTGAGTGACAAGAATGAGAGGGATTGTTGCTTCACATGATATATATTTTTAGATTATTACAAGTGGATGGAAATAAAATTACAATGGTTAAAATTATAAAACAGAAAAGGATGATTAAAAATGACTAGAAAACCCTCGCTATATGTTGATTATACCAAAAAGAGTTACTAGCATGAGGCATTGCAGTTGGCATTCTTGTAAGACACTTGTGCATTGCCTCCATGTCAATATTGGAGCTGGCACCCTTATACCTAGAAGGAGATGCCCGTAATATTGTCCTATGGGATAGGATGTGGCTGCAAATTTGTGGAGGGTCACTAGGCCTTTTGCTGAGTTTGACCATATGCAACTACTTAATTTCTTGGTTATCATTCTTGTTTTTAGAGAAGCTAATGATGTAATCTGTGCCCTGGAAAATGTGGTCACTTTGTTATATGAATGGAACAGTTTTCAATTCGTGGATTAATTATTTGGTGAGTTTGACCATATGCAACTCCTTTCCTCTTTCATTCCAAATCATTTTAGGAATGGGAATCAAGGAATCGCGGTCGGCTAAAAGATTCATGTTTTTTGGAATCGACGTCCGTACAAGAGGAAATTGTGGGAAACGAGATTCCTATTTTATTGGCATCGAGATTCAACCGAAATGGAATTGATAACCTTGCATGGATAGAATCAAGATTCCTAGCTCTATGGCACCGAGTTTCCGACCTATTCAGAATCGACTAATATGGAATCGAGATTCGACCTAGATTGGAATCGAGATTATTGGCAGTTTGGATTTCGAGTTTTGACTCATCTTAAGGGGTATGTGCCTTTGATACCATGGATGAAGGTGTGGAGTATTTTAATTTTTAATGTTGCAACAGAAAGTTATCTTATTTTAATACTCCAAGGGCATGCAAAGGAAGTTATGCTTGCCATTGTTACCTGCAAAAGACATTGGAACGAAACTTGTTAAGAACTCAACTCTAGATTTTTGCATTGGAATGTTAATTTGTGGAACAAAAAGTTTGGCAATGCATTCATTGGACTATTGTTCGGAACATAGATGAAGTGTGAAGGATAATCGTCTCTACTTCCAATTTACAAATAACTCAAATAAAAATCTATAAATATTGCAGCCAATTTATAAGTCACATATTTATGCACCTAGAATATTAGTATTTGATTTTGAGGTATTTTAATTCCAAAAAAGAAAAATAGATCATGGTTCTATGAGGGTGGAAGCACGATTCAATGTTTTATTAGTTTGTCGTTTCTTGCATCTACACGCTGTACTTGTTGTTTAAGAATTTGGATTCGAAAATAATTGAATTGAGTATCCTTATATGTGGAAACCGGTTTCAACAAGTGTAGAATTGAGATTCACCAATTACGGGATCGAGAATCAGTAAATGCTGGAAAGGGATTCAAGTGTTGAAATCGAGATTCCTAAGTTAAGGAATCAAGATTCTAGACTTCTCTGAAACGAGTTCTGTGAATATTCATTATATCGGGGTTCCGAATAAGAAAGGTGACCTTTGGTGGGAGATTCAAGTAACTATGGTCCAAGTCATTCCTATAACTCTTTTTCATTTGTGGTTATATTTTTTGGCATCACCCTTGTCTTATCTATTGGGTAATTTTGTCTGCAATCATGTGCACCTTATGAGGCACATGAAAACAAATTTTTTTCGCTCCAATAATTGCCACATGAAAATTGGCTTGGGATTAGGAATGAGATTTTGTGTTTTAAGTTGCATGAAGAAGTGGCATGCTTAATGCAATTTTCTGGCATTTCTTGTCCATTTCATGAGAGGTAGTGTATGGAGTTTGAGAATGTTTTTTATTTTTTACCTGATAATCGTATATCGTCACTATTATCTATCAAGATGACATTCACCTTGTTATAGTGTTTGCTTATAAGTTAAAAGAAAAATTTGATATTGGTTGAGATGTTCTTTTTCACCTTTTCTGGTGAAGGACTTTAAATATTCATCATTATGCACTCATCTAGTGGATATGAATTTCTTTGGGCCATCTATTTGAAAGTTTTCAATTGCATTATCATTGAAGAGCTATATAGTCACAAACTGACGAGTGATAGGATGTTTATGCTTATTCTCTTCAATGGTTTATTATCTTATTTGTTTTGGGATTTGCTTAATAGAAGAATTCATTGTAATAAATTTACTTCAGTGCGGCATGTGATTTGTTTTATGATGCGTCTTTATGACTTTCTACCAGAATTTAATTCCTCATTGTATGAATTAACTAATGAACGTACTTTTCATGTGACATTGATTTCCTTTTTGTATTGCTTTTTCAGATCTGATATAGCTTGGAAAAATGCAAACTACGCTCAGATATGGGAGTATCTACGAGATGAGTATGAACTGACACAAAGATTTGGAAGCCTTGATTTTAAACTGAAATTTGTTGAGGTACCTATTGCTTCTTGGATATTTCTTGTAATTTTAATAAAATCTGTCTGTAGTGACTGAATTATATACATGCTCTTTCACTGAAATGTTGTCTGTCACTGCAGCACAATATTCGCTTTCTACAGGAAATTCTTCAAAACAGGAAGTCTGATTTCTTGGAGTGGGTCATCATTCTATTGATAAGTGTTGAGATTCTAATCTCCTTGTACAATATTATCCGGGAGTCAGCCATAAGTCCCTCATAACAGTATTTGAAGAGTAAATACAGAAGCTCATCCAAAAGTTTTGCCTCATGAGTCTTCATTCTTTTGGAAATGTATATCTCTGTCGGCATTTTTAAAATGATCTATTGTCGCACTTGATATTCCATAGGATGTACTGAATCGGGCATTGGCCGCTCTTCTCCTGTATATATTCTTGTGTCATTATGCAGCTTGTCATGCTTGTAATTGAGCAAATGTAAGATTGCTGCTTTACTAATAACATAGTTGCTGTTTTCTATTCAAAGATGTAAACGAGCCTTCTTGACCTTCTCAATGGAATACTATTAAATGAGGTTTGAGTGACTTGGTTGTATTTTGTTGATCATGTCTAATTTTCATTTACTCTGTTCAATTATAAAGCAAGAAACTTTGATCTAATCAGCTCACATTATATTCTGTTTCTGACTTATTAATTTGATCCATGTTATATTCTTGTTATCAGCTAAATTGGATATGTTCTGTTTTCCATTTTCTAGGAAGTCAGACCGGGAGGGCTCATTAAAGTAGTTTCTTTGCAATTGTTTACAATTTCATGATTTGGAATAGCAATTATTTTGAGCATTTAGCCAGTAGAGCTTCTATGAGATGCACTGTGTGGAATAATCAATGAACTAGATGAAATTAAAATTTGAAGCAGTGGTATTTTAATCAGATTATGAAATTAACCCTAGGATATGGAGCTGCTGTTGTCAACACCTTATCCAACTTCTATTCCTAAACGTTGGTACTTATTAAACATACAAGGAAATTGATGGACAGATTTCTGCTGCTCACTTTCTGATGAAGGAAAATAGAGAAAAGAGGCCAAAAACAGTTTAATAACCATTAGAACAGATTTGAGTGAATTTGGGTTTCCTTGACAAAAGAGTGATCCCAAAACCTTAGATAGGGCTTGCTGGCACTATTCACAGTTTTTTCTACTGTTCACACTTCAGAAGCGTTAGAAACCCTAACATCCCAAGCCCTTTTATTATATCATAATAAAAAAAGACCATAATTGCCCCCACTTAAATTAAAACATTATAAAAATACCTCATAAGTCCTTTCACTTAAAAAAACTCGTAAGGACACTTTTATCCCTGATAAAACAAGTAATTCCATGAGTATTCGAATCACTTTTTAATCATCTTCTAAAATCCTAAAAAGTATACAAAATTCTGAACACCCTAAAAAGAACTTAAGAACCTAAAAACTAAACCCTAAGACTAAAATGAAAAGGTAAATCTTTGAAATTAAACAAATATTAAAAATAAGAATAGCTTTGTGCTCCATCATTGTCTTTGGGTGGAGAAAGCTCGTCTTTGAGTTTTGAAGCGTGCTAAGATGAAATTTGTATCAGCCTTGCAACCTTCTTCAACATGATATTGTAAAGACGATCATGGGGCTTGTGGGTTATTGTATTAGTTAAAATACAATGGTTGTGCACTGAGATTGAGTCCTTGTGATCAGTTGATATATCCATAAACACTTTTGAGTACCCCTTGAGGAAAGGGTCATTATATGTCGATGGAATAACATTGATATGTAACCCCGGTTCAGTCACATTAACTAGCTGAAATTGCATCAGTACAGTTACTACACCTTGCTGCAATTGCCTTGGTACATCTCTAGAACAATCCAAGGGAGCATCTTCAAGATGATCATCTCGAACTCCTAGTTCACTAACCAAATTAGCAACTTCCCCTTCTAAAATTTCTTCATCTTCATCTCAATCATTGTCACCTTTCTTTTTTTTCACTTGGTTCTTTATCAAAAATTGGATCACTACTTTCTTCATTTGAACACTCATCAAAGACTGATGGAGAGTTCCAATCACTGCCTTGCTGATTTTGGAAGCAAATTGATGCTAAATTCTTCGAGTTTAACTAATCTGCATCGTCTACTACCCGGGGTGTAATTATGCTGCGCGAAATCACCAATGCCTCCCAATGATCACTATAGGCTACTTCTAGGTCCTCTTCATCAACCAGCTCATTGTAGATGGGATCACCTTCAAAAGAATGTTTGCTGTTTTCATCATAAAACTCCTCAGAAAGGTCAATGAACTTGCGATCTGGATGCGATCTGGACATTGTAATGAGACATGCCCGATCCCCGAACACCTATAGCATTTGATGTTGCTACCGGCACCCCTTTGGGTGACCCACCTCCCAAAACAACCCCTTTTTGGTCCAGGGCATCTTGCTGGCTGGTCATTCCAGCTGTGCGAGATGTCGAATCAGCACCTGTCATGTTGCCTTTTCTTCCAAAAACAGCACCACGGGCTGCTGCCCTGTTTCCCCATCACTCTCACCACACCCCACCTGTTCGAGGGTGGTTTCTGCTGAATTTTAACCTCTTTGCAAGTTTATAGACCTCATCAAGGGTCCAATAGCATTACAAAACTACCACATTTGAATTGATTGGTGCAGTCCATTCACATACCTAGCAATGGATTGCTCCTTAGCTCAATCATATCACTACAGGCAGTTAAAAGGTGAAACTCATGTGTGTTCATCCACATTCCTATCTCCTTGGTGCCTTAATATAAATAATTTTCAGGGAGATATTTTTCCTTTATCTTCTTCCACGACACAATTTTAATTTCGCCATTCTTTCTCGCCTTGCTTTTAGCTATTCCCACCATATTAAAGAACTTTTTTTCAATTTAATGGCAATCATCTTGACCTTTTTATTCGCTGGCACATCCTTGTAATCAAAGTTTCTCTCTTCCATGTTTAACTAGTTTATAAAGTCATTGGGCTGCGAATTTCCTTCAAAATCAGGAATATTTATTTTTAGATCTCTGAATCTTGAGTGGCATCCATACCTCTGATTATATTCTTCTTAACTCGACTCATCCTGCGGAGCACAATTGTGAAAAAGGTTGTACTCAACATCATAATGGACAACCAAAACTTCATCACGTCCATGATTGATGCCTGCAAGCCCTGTAAGTTCTAGTTGTTGGCCTGTCAGAGCAAGGGCCAAAGAGTCAACAAGTTTCCGCATGGCATGTAACATGACAACAACATTATTGGCAAGCAGCCCTACAGAGTGACACATGTACATGGGCATAAAGAGAGCCTCATTTGCACTGTGGTGACAAGTACTAGACTTGCTCTTAGAGGGGGAACTGAAATCCCCATTTCAAAATCATGGTTCCACTGTTTATTGTCCAACTTTGACAAGCCAATCATGAGCCCTTCCATTGAGACTATGGGTCATGGGTTTTTGTTGGGTTGGATAAAAAAATAGTAGTAGATCATGGTTCTTGGGTCAAGTGAAGTGCCCTTATTGTCGCTAATTTTAACCTATTGGTACCGGTCCGCTTCTAAAATATTTTGTTTGGATATTAGAAATGTTTTTTATAATTTTTATAAAATTTTTCAGAATTTTAAAAATTTATTTTGGCTATAAATTTTCATTAAAAAGGGTATTTTTGAATTTTCAGAACCTGGAAGGGCACATGTTAGGACTAAGGATCCAGCTCCCGTATGTGTGTGCCACCCATGAATGGGAAGTGTGGCCTTGTGGGCTCACATAATGGTCCTGTCGCACGCATGATTTTAAAATGCGGTCGCATTAGGTGTTATGCACTGGGAAAGACATCGCAACAGACCGCATATGTGCTATGGAGAGATGTGCTCGCATATGCGGCCGCGTCCCTCATAATTCCCATGTGGTTCACCATTTTTGTGAAAAATAGGGTATTTTGGACATTCCAAAAAAGGGGGAAAATGGTTTCGGGGGTATTAAACCCCCCAAACAACATTTTGCAGCTACATCTGTGGCTTTTTTGGATCGATTGAATAAAAAAACAATATCAGTGGAAATTTTATTTTGTGAAGTTCTTGAATTGTTGTATTGGTTGATGCTTGGATTTTGATTTGTATCTTTTGGGTGTTGATTTGAGGAAGTTAAGGTGAAGTTTCAAGGGTTTCAAGGGCCGTGAAGAGATCGATACTTGCTTCACGTAACCAGTAACTTTTCTTTCCTACTACAGTAATACTTTTTTTTTGGGCAATGTCTTCTTCTCAATCTTTTAGTAATAAGGATCCGGCTTGGAAATATGCCAAACTTAAAATCCGAAAGATCGAAATTGTGTGATTTGTATAATAATCATCATCATAACCTTTTCACAATTAATTGGGGTCGGCTAATTGTGTGATTTGTATGCTTTGTGGCAATACTTATATGGGGGGTATTCGGCAAAAAGAACACTTAGCCAGTATTTCTAAGAATATAAGAGCATGCCCACAAGCTACTGGAGAGATTAAAAAGGAGATTAGAGAATATATGGATAGCTTGAAAAAAGAAAAAGAGAAGAAAAAATGAAAAACTTGAAAAAAGAAAAAGAGAAGAAAAAATAAAAAAAAAGGAATTAATTGATGAAATGCAATTATCTGATGATGATGAGGAGGAGGAGGATATATAAGAAGTTGCAATGAGGCAAATGGTCTCCAATATCAAGAGAGAGGGTTACAAAGATTTATTGTAGTATTGAAAAAAAAACCCCTCTCTCTAAGGGGCTAATGGATGCTTTTTTTTACCCTTAACCTCGAAATTGTGGTTTAGGAGAGGAAGTAAAAAACAAAACAAACTACAATTGAAAATTGATACAAGAAAGAAGAGAGGAAGTCGGTCTGTAAGTACATTGCACAGTGGTTTTATATGGCCGACATTCCTTTTGGTATTATAACCCTCGATAGTTTTGCATGTATGGTCCAGGCAATTGAGCAATTTGGCCCAGGACTTAATCCTCCTTCACTACATGAGATTCGGGAACCCTTATTGAAGGATGTTGTATTTGACGTTAACAAAATTTTCATTTCTCAAAGAGAAGGGTAGAAGTATGGGGCCACTAATATGTGTGATGGATGGTCCGATGGGAAATCAAGGTCATTCGTTAATTTTTTGGTTAACTGTCCAACATGTCATTTTTTTTAAATCTGTTGATGCATCCGACAAGTCACATGATGCTCCATACTTATGTCGCTTGATGGATGAGATTGTAGAGTTTGTTGGAGAGAAACACGTGGTACAAATTGTCATTGACAATGGTACCAATTACGATCCAGCTGGGCATTTTTTAACTTTGAAGAGAACGCATATGTTTTGGACTCCTTGCACCGCTCATTGTATTAATCTCATGCTTAAGGAAATGACTACAATATCTTTATTTAGTGAGGTGATTTCAAAAGCTATGTATGTTGTTGGATTTATTTATAATCACACCATAGTCCTTAGCATGATGAGGACTTTTACAAAGAAAAGAGAATTAGTGAGACCAGGTATCGCTAGATTTGCCACATCGTTTCTCA